AGACCAGCACATCTGATTCCTGGTGAGAAGACACTACCAAAGTCTGTGTCTGGTTTATCCTTAAAAAGTAATACATCCATGGATCCTCCTTTGCTATTCAAACAGGATTCTTCTCATTCAATGTAAGTCTAAATTTAACTTGATCCTCGGTTTCTAAAAGAAGGAAAATAACCAAATGAACCCGTTTTCTGTATGTTTCCTGCAGAAGACCAGCACCTCTGTAAGTCTAAAGTTTTTCATGTATCATACTAAATGTGACAACATTGTCAGACTCATTACGTTTTGTAAAACAATATTTTATTACCCTGTTGTGTTTTTTTTGTTTACATTATAACACAATGCTGAACATTTTTGCTCCGTGTATGAATAATATTTATGACTCTTGATGAGTACAACAATTTTTTAACTTATTTTGAGTAAATCTTGTCAAAAAATGTGTTTATGTTTAAATTAAATATCATTTGTCCTCTCAATCTGCTGATTTTCTAGAATGAGCTGAAAGTTGATAGACATTAACTTCAAAATTAATTTCTTTTCAGGTTGGATGAAGCAGCTGGAGACAGGGGTGCTTCTGATGTGGACACATGCACACCGTCAGAGGACGATATATTCACGGTGTGTAAATAAGCAGAGCCAGAATTCAACACTATATATTTAAATAAGTCAAATTATTCAGTTTGACTGTTGTCCAGTTAAACATAAAACTGACAATTTATCAGGTGTCAAACAAAGTTAGATAAGAAATAAAAATATATAAAGTGTTTTACTAATTTATTGGTGCATTTATATCATATTGATTGATTTCTATATTGATTCTGTCAGATTCAGTGCACAGACTCAGACATAATAAGCAAAGAGCAGGTCACACACAGAAAGTGTGGGCCTGTTATGTGGGTCTGCAGCACTCCGACAGCTGTTTGTTTAAAAACGGGCAGAAGAACTGGATAAAGAAGATTTAAAAGTCCTTTACATCATCAAGGATGTGTTGCATCCCATGATTAAAGTTAAACATCCTGAAACATTAGATATTATTTGCTTAGAATTTAGAAGTTTGAGTACTTCAGGGTCATTATACTCAGTTTGGAAGCTTCAAAGTCTAAACAAATTATGATGAGTTACTATTAAAAAAGTTTCTATGAAGGTCATGCCAGTCACTTTATATAGTCTATCAAAAATAAAGCTGATGGCAGATTGTTTGGGTTTATGATGGAAATTATTAAAATTAAGGATGTAATTCTCTTCCAGCTTCTTGGAAGGGACATCAGTGAATTTGTTGAGAGTGAACTGAGCAAGATTCAAAGAATCCTAGAGTTGAAATCAGAAGAGGATGTGTACAGTGACGAAGAAGAACCAAGAAATAGAGCCACCGATGGTTTCCTGAAGATCGTTCTGTACTTCCTGCATAGCAGAAAAAGAGAAGACATGGCTGTCCTGCTGGAGAACAGTAAGATGTTTTACTTTGCTTTTTTATAGATTGTGCGAAGCTAAAAAAAACTAGTAAAAAACATTGAAAATATTAATAAAATGTATTGAAATTGGTTCTTTCCACAAAAATCACAGAAAATGTTTGGATTTCTGAGTATTTTTTCTGAAAACACTAAACACATCTTGTTGCTACAGC